TTATTTCAATACTTCAACTTAAAAGGTGAAACTATTATGAGATAGACTCATGACATGCAAAGCGAGATATGTCAAGCCTTTATTTGTTATAATTGTGATGATTATCAGCCCTGTATGCTCACTGGAAGGACAGATCCTGAAGCTGAGGCTCCAATACTTTGGCCACCTCATGAGAAGAGAAGACTCCCTGGAAAAGACCCTGATGTTGGGAAAGATGGAGGGCACAAGGAGAAGGGGATGACAGAGGACGAGATGGTTGGACAGTGTTCTCGAAGCTACCAGCATGAGTTTGACCAAACTGCGCGAGACGGTGGAGGACAGGGTTGCCTGGCATGCTCTGGTCCAGGGGGTCACGAAGAGTCAGACACGACTAAACGATTAAACAACAAAAACAACAACAACAACAACAACATGGCGTACAGCTGATGAAAACCCCAAATTAACAATCTCAGAAAATTAGAATATTGTGAAAAGGTGCAGTAGCTATTCCATCCATAACACCTACAATGGGTTCCTGAGCCTTTAAATGGTCTCTCAGTCTGGCTCAGTAGGAAGCACAATCATGGGGAAGGCTGCTGACCTGACAGTTGTGCATAAAGCCATCAATGAGACCCTTCATAAGGAGGGAAAGCCTCAAAAGGATCTATCTATCATCTATCTATCTATCTATCTATCTATCTATTTCCATCTATTTCCATCTATCTATATGATATACAAGGGGAAAGGGACAAGGAGGGAGGAGGAAAATCAAAACCTAGGCATGGATTTCTAAGCAGCTGTCCCTATAAAAGCCAGCTGGCACAGTTCAGGGGCAAAGAGGTGCTTCGTGGGCCTCCAGCGAAGCTGATGAAATGAGCCCTCCTGCTTCCTGTGTCTCTGCCTGCCGCAGCCTGATGCAACAGCTACCCCCAGGTGACAGCTGAGGGACAAGGAGGCCTGATGGAGCTGGCTTGCTCCAGCAGAGACATTTGGCCCCAGGGTGTCAGGTTCCTGCCCTGCTTCAGGGGAACTCAGTCCTAGGAGGAAGTAAAGGGAACAGTTCAAGCAAGTCATGAAATGAGAGTGGCCACCTTTTTCTTCTTCTTCTTCTCTACTGGCCCCGCTTTCCATAGCTGTCAACTGTCCCTTATTTGGCGGGAAAGTCCCTTATTCCAGCGCTGTGTCCCGCTGCTGTCCCTTATTGATGATGTCCCTTAGATTTCCCGGGTTTCAAAGGAAGCAGCTCCTCTCCCTCCCTCCCTCCCTGCCGGCCAGGGAGGAGGGAGGCTCCAACTGGGTTGCTTGGCTGCGTTGCTCACCCAATAAGGAGTCTAAGAACGACTGGGGGGTGGAGTTTGCATGCCTTGTGCCAATCAAATCGACCGCGTTGCCTGGGGACTCGCCTTTGCTCAGCGCTTCCCAGCAGAGAGGTGACAGTGGTTTTCCTTGCTGCATCCCCTTTGCCGGGTTGCTGTGCTGTGGGAACCACCCCTTGAGGCTTCGTTTGGCTGCTGGCTGGGCTTTCTGCCTTTGGCTCGGAGGGGCTCAGAAGTCAAACATACCTGTGCTCTGAAAATCCCTTATTTTGGCTGCTGATCCCTTATTGTCGAGGCTGCTGGTCCCTTATTTTCAAATCTGTAAGTTGACAGCTATGTCGCTTTCATTCCTCGAACAGCATACAGAAAGGAAGTTGGCGACGTTTCTCCGCTGCAGAGCAGAAATAGTTTCGCCGGCTTGATTTCTGTAGCGTGACGGGCTGCAGATGAAAAGGCATAGGAGCAAGGCCAGAGGAAACAAACAGATGGCGATCCTGACACCGTGTAAACATCTACAAGCCCTTCAAGCATGGCCATTCAAGGGCATCAGATGAGAACTGAGCTCATACGTAGGATTGCCACCTTTTTTGCAATCACATTTTTGAACTGAAAGCTTTTTCCCCAACATATTAAACACTAGCATTTAGGCTCCCAACTTTTAAAAATAGCCCTGTTCCTGCAACGTTAATAGCCTTGAAGCTTCCTTGGTTTTCTGGCGTGGGGATGGCGCATGGGAGGGTTATTCATTTAATTTCTGCTCAAATGTATAATAAATTTTTATTGATTTTCCAAACACATAATAAAAACAAACAATACACAAAACAAAAACATACAAACATATAAACATATATAATTTCATAATCTTATTTTCATACACCTTACTTCCCGGACTTCCCCATACCTCCCCTTTTCTGCATCCTTGTTTTACATTTCTTCAGCAACTCCTCCAATTAATTAATTATTTAAATCACTTTCATTAGATTCTTTTTTCTTTTACTTATTAATTACAGCTGCAATTCTCTATTTCTTAGTTCCTTAACATCTTAACACTCCTCAATTTTACAGCAATTTTTAAGATATATTTTAAATTTCTTCCAGTCTTCTTCCACTGTCTCTTTCCCCTGGTCACGGATTCTGCCGGTCATCTCTGCCAGTCCCATATAGTCAATCACCTTCGTCTGCCATTCTTCCAGAGTGGGTAGTTCTTGTGTCTTCCAATACTTTGCCAGAAGAATTCTTGCTGCTGTAGTGGCATACATGAAAAACGTCCTATCCTTCCTTGACACCAATTGGCCAACCATGCCCAAGAGAAAAGCCTCAGGTTTCTTAGGAAAAGTCCACTTAAGAACTTTCTTAATTTCATTATAGATCATTTCCCAAAAGGCTTTAATCTTCGGGCAGGTCCACCAAAGGTGATAAAAAGTACCTTCAGTCTCATTACATTTCCAGCATTTATTATTGGGCGAATGGTAAATTTTTGCTAGCTTGACTGGGGTCATGTACCACCTGTAAATCATTTTCATTATGTTTTCTCTTAAGGCATTACATGCCGTAAACTTAACACCGGTGGTCCATAACTGTTCCCAGTCAGCAAACATAATGTCATGACCAATATCTTGTGCCCATTTAATCATAGCTGATTTCACCGTTTCATCCTGTGTATTCCATTTCAACAGCAAATTATACATTCTAGACAAGTTCTTAGTATTGGATTCTAACAGTTCTGTTTCTAATTTTGACCTCTCCATCTGGAAGCCTATTTTCCTGTCCTGTTTAAATATCTCATTTATCTGAAGGTAATGCAACCAGTCTCGTACCTTGGACTTTAATTTCTCATAACTCTGTAATTTGACTTTTTCACCATCTTGTTCTAAAATTTCACAGTATTTTGGCCATTTAGACTCCATATTAAGTTTTTTCACCTCTTTAGCTTCCATTGGTGACAGCCACCTGGGAGTTTTACTTTCCAGTAAATCTTTATACCGCATCCAAACATTGTATAATGCTTTCCTAACAATATGGTTTTTGAAACCTTTATGCAATTTTACCTTGTCATACCATATATATGCATGCCAGCCAAATCTATTATCAAACCCTTCCAGATCCAAAATGTCTGTATTCTCAAGAAGCAGCCAATGTTTCAACCAGCAAAAAGCTGCCGATTCATAGTAGAGTCTTAAGTCCGGCAGGGCAAACCCCCCTCTATCTTTTGCATCAGTTAAAATCTTAAATTTTATTCTGGGCTTTTTGCCCTGCCAGACAAATTTAGATATGTCTTTCTGCCACTTCTTGAAACAGTCCATCTTGTCCAAAATCTGCAACGTCTGGAATAAAAACAACATTCTAGGCAATACATTCATCTTGATGACAGCAATTCGGCCTAACAAGGAGAGTCTCAACCTTGACCATGTTTCTAGATCTTTCTTTACTTCTGTCCAACATTTGTCATAATTGTCCTTAAATAAGTTCACATTCTTAGATGTTAAGTTTACCCCCAGGTACTTCACTTTTTTCGTTATCACTAAACCTGTTTCACTCTGAAACTTCTCTTTTTCAGCCAATGTTAGGTTTTTCTCCAACACTTTCAATTTCTGCTCAAATGTACAAGAGCAGCGTGCCAGCCTTCTGTAGTAAGCGAGGGGCAGGGCAGTAA